GGAGAAGAATCTTGAAAATTGAAATAGATATCTAACTCTACACTTTATACTTACAAGAAACAGTAATTACTTAAGAAGAGAATGTAGTCACATACTATGTCAAAAGTATGTAGGGAGCAAAATTATAAAGTGTCATCAAGTCTATAATAGTATATATTATACTGTGAAAGAAAAGATGAGGTACCATATTGATATCAGCAACCCAGTCTGTAATAGTGTGTACTGTGAATGTAAAAGTAGAAACTTGGAAAAACAAATTGTGCAAAGTTTACATCAACTTAAATTTCAAAATACATGTGTGATAAATAAACAGATCAATACATCCTACTACTACTCAGTGTTCCGTACGCATGCTGTGCTCTTCAGCATAGACAACTTAGGGAATATTCTGTATATAAAATCAGAATTTGGCAGTATCATTTAAAAAAAACTACAAAGGGATGTTACTCTGAACTGCATGACACACAGTAAGCACTTAAATACTGAGTAGAATAATAGTATGAACTATGTTGCAAAGGTAGAAATCAAAATAGTGTGTCATAAAGACTCTAATAGTATATCTTCAAAGTACAAACAATAGAAATTGAAACAAAAACTACAGTTTTCTACTTGCAATTCAATCGTTCTGAGATGGATAAGTGATTGGATAGTAGCAACCCAGGCTCATTGTGATTGGGGTACATGAACTTCAATTTAAAGATACACGTGATAATTTCAAAGATCCATATTCAGACTCCTACTCAGTGTTAGGTAAGCATTCTGCGGTCCATAGTAGAGAACTTAATAAGTATTCTGTATATAGCATCAAAAGTAAATTTCATCATTTGCAAAAACTAGGATGTGATGTTAGTAAATAAGCAGGACACACAACAGACAAAACATACAAGTATCACATATATAAAGTAGATGTGAAACACTATGCAATTAGATGTGCGACAAAAGAAAGTACAAGTAGATAAAATTTAACCTGATAATTCAACTTGGATAAATTTCAATCATGCACATTAAAGGTGGGACAAAACTTTTAGTATCATACTATCATTACTAAGAAAGTCTAATGCTATGAGCAATTCCACCAAGAAATTGAAAGTATTTTGTAGGTAATCGGAGTATAAAACCGGCCACTCCAGCAAATACACCTCCAAATAGTGAACATACCCACCTTTGTAAGAAATTCATACACAAAAATGATCTGCATGTGCTTTCCAAGTCACTATTTCCAAAGATCCATACTCTAAGAGGACTTGGGATGTATTGATCATGTAGAAATCAAGCTTAAACTGTTAGGGTTGCCTGTATCTAATAAAATTAGGATGATTTGTTTCATAGAATATAAATTAATAGAATGATATAGTATAAAACTTACCTTGGCTGCAAGATTCAACTTAGAAAATTTCAGGAAACTGCTACAATCTACACATCTAAAATAGGGCTTGAAAAAACCACGAAAACTATGATATACGACCATATGCTCTTGCGATTGACAAGAATCGCAAGCGAGCTGTGTGGTATGGAGTAGGATTCGAGCTAAAATGGTGGAGTTTCAGAGTGACGAAACAGAAAGCGCAGAGACGATGAAGGTAAAGTGAACCTTCTGGAAATGGAACCGATGGATTGACAGAGATAGAGGCACGGTGACAATTGTATTTTAAAATATTATTAATATTAATAATTAAGACACAGTTTTCCAAATACATCAAACCAACTATATATATGTACTCCAAAATCAAGAGTTGCAGTTCCAAGTGACTCTAACATAATTAAAATACTATGAGCAAAATGCCTATATGGAGTTTAATTTTTGAAATTATATGGAGCAGAAAATAAGCTCAGATTTGGTAATGGAGAAACCATACCGCCATGGCTGCAGACCGGGAGTTTGCCCCGGGTCGGGTCCCTCCATCCCGATGAACTGTAGAAAAATCATCATCAACCCAGCCTACATAACCAATAATAATAGCTGAAACAACAACAACACAAACATGAACAGGAAACAGTTGATCCGAAGGTTCAAGCCGAATCTAACGTGGATAATTTCACTGCAAACCCGAGGTTTAATTAGATCATCAATGGCTGCCCATAAGATAAGCCGTAAAAATTCATAGCTTTGGAGTTGATGAATGGTGAATACGATCATTGTATGAGAGAACTAAACTAAATCTATTAAAAATATATATAGATTCAAGATGAGATGAAGGAGTTTACAGTGGACTATCCAGATTCGAATGCATGCAATTATCCCCTTAAACCAGAAAATTTTTCAATTTGAGAAAAATATTACCAATTTTATGACCATCAGAACAGACCCATATATCAAACGAACCTGCGTCTTGAATTTTCCAGATTTGGTAGGCCATATTCATCTTCTTCAATCTAATATACCTGACAAAACCACTCAGACAGTTGGAATTTCTGGATTGCTTCTCAGAGATTAGCTAGGAAAGAACCCTAACTTAAAAAAAAAAAAAAAAGAAAAAAAAAAGAAAAAAAAAAAGCAGTAGAGGTAGATCTCCAATGGAAAATATGTAGTGTGTAAATCACTAAACTTAGCTTAAGTATTGTGAGGAGTGTCTAGAGAGTTCTTAGTTTGTGAGCTTAAGAGAGGCGAGATGCAGAGGTGCAGTGAGTGAGAGTGAAGATGATTCTAGAAAGAATTAATTTCACTTTTGGTCCCACGACTTTAGAGGATCTATCACTTTTGGTGCACAACTTTAAAAGTTTTCAATTTTGGTGCCTAACTTTGTTGTTTTTATCAATTTTGGTCCTTTCAACCAAATTGACGACGAAATATTGCCGGATTTTATATTTTTAGGGGTAAAATCGTCATCCTAAGGAAACATCTTCAATATCTAAACAAAATCACTCTAAAATCATATCTATAGGTGTTTGATCGATGAGAATAATTGAGAAGACGGACAGAAACTAGACACAGATCTATGAGATTTATAGCATCGACGATTGCCAAACTCTTATATTTCTCTTAACATGATTTTTCTTTTGTTTAGATATTGAATATTTTTCTTTGGGATGACGATTTTGCCCCTAAAATGTAAAATTCGGCAATATTTCGCTGTCAATTTGGTCGAAAGGACCAAAATTGATAAAAACAACAAAATTAGACACCAAAATTGAAAAAATTTAAAGTTGTGCATCAAAAATGATAGAACCTCTAAAGTCGTCGGACCAAAAGTGAAATTAGTTCATTCTGAAAACTAAGCTATTAGTTCTGATTAGTATCTTATATTGTACTTTAATTGTGAAATTGAATTTCAATATAAAATTCAAATATTCCAAATTTAATAATATTGCAATATTACAAATTTTAATAATTTGTAATATTAATTTTAATAGTTTGTAATTTACGCTCAGATTCCATATATGTTTGTGTATAGATATTTAATTGTATAGTGGTTTTAGGCAAATTATGTTGTGCAACTGTGTGCATTATGCATGGTACATACGGAATTGGATCCATAATTTTTCTACTATAAATCCATACTTTTTATATTATAGATTCATAATTTCTATATTATAAATTCATAATTTTTGAACTCTATATTCACAATTACAGAACTCTATGTTCATAATTTTCAATATTTATATTCTCAATTGTTGAACTCTGTATTCACAAATCACTGAACTATATGTTCATAATTGATAACTATACAGTATAGAAATTATGAATCTATAGTATAGAAATTATGAATCTATAGTATGGAAATTATGAATTTATAGTTTAGAAACTATGAATCTACAGTATAGAAATTATGGATCTATAGTATAGAAATTATGGATCTATAGTATAAATTTTTGCAATTGATTACTTTTATGAAAATCAAATTTAATATAAAAACTACTAAACTTTTATTACTGTATAAGTCATATCCGTGCATCGCACATGTACAATAATCAAGTAGTACTCTATCTAACGTTAAGCGTTTTTATATAATTTAAATTTATTATAAGCCCGCAGAAGTTAAATACACACAATCTTTGTCTTTGCGTGCTTCTGATGGCGGCACCGCCGGGGGCCGCCGCGCCCCCTCACCGCACTTTTGCTGATATTCTATCGAAATCATCTGAATCCTCGCCTCTCCGGCCGCCGAGGCGTTATAAGGGTATGCCCGCGGTCTCCTTCTCAGACGACGACGTACAACAATTCTCTGAGAAGTTTCGTTTTGCACTAGTAGGCAAATTCGCAAAAAGTCGCCCGCCGATGGCTGATCTTCGCAAGACTTTTGACCAAATTGGCTTTGGTGGCGCCTTCACTCTAGGCCTGATCGATCAGAGGCACATTCTGATAAACTTTGATCATGAGATCGATTTCCAGCGCTGCTGGCTTCGAAAGACATGGTCGATCAAGGGATCCCTCATGCGAGTCTTTCGCTGGACGCCAGATTTTCGCCCGGATGTTGAGTCTCCCATTATTCCTGTTTGGCTAGCGTTGGAAGGCTTGCCGGCTCATCTCCACGACAAGCGGGCCATTTACTCGATTGCTAATCTGGTGGGCAACCCCCTTAAAGTCGACACCTCCACCTTAGTACCTAACCGCCCGTCGGTAGCTAGGGTGTGTGTGGAGCTCAACGTAAGTTTACCTCTCGTCGAACAAGTCTGGATCAATAATGGCTCTTACGGAGGTTTTACGCAGAGGATAGTCCATGAATTTGTACCACCATATTGCTTGGGGTGCCGAAAATTTGGGCATCAGGACTCAGAATGCCGTTCTCAATCTTCAATTCATCGTGATGCTCCCACTGGCCATCAGAATGAACCAGCGCCCCTCAAACAGCCGCATATTGTCCCTCCGAGAAAAAGATGGCGTCTAGTAAATCATTCAGCATACAATGCGCTTCGACCGACAGGTGGTCGCTGTCTTTCCGCCTCCTGTATCTGGGGCGGGGGGCTGCCTTCAAAAGTGTCTATTTTCATGTGGAGATTGCTACGCCGTTTGCTGCCGTTTCCAGATACTCTACAGCGGTTTGGTTTTTCAATGCCCTCGGTATGCCCATTTTGCCGGAGGGATTCTGCCAGTCTAGATCACTGCCTCCTCAGTTGTGCTAGCGTACAAGATGTCTGGATTTATTTTGCTGATATTTTTGCATTGTCGAGGGCCGTTGCCAGCTCGATACGTTCGCAGTGTCACTCATGGTGGTTATTGGCTCCAGCCAGATCTGCTACAATGTTTTATGCGCAACTGCTCCCCTGCCTCATCTTATGGTTCCTATGGAAGGCCTACAATGTCTGCCTTCACGAGGGTACTGCTTTTTCACCAGCCGGCTCCATTCACATGATTAAGAGGGAGGCCTTTTTAATATCTCTGTCTCACCCGATTAAAAAGAGTGGGGGCAATGGTGACTTCCTTGTATCGGCTGGTCTCGTTACGGGCTTTGCTGCCCCGCTGCAGCGTACAACAATTTGGGTAAAATGGCTTCACCCACCCGAAGGAAGATTGAAATTAAACACAGATGCTATTTTTTCGGATGCTGGGGCAGCGGGTGGAGCATGCGTTCGGGGATCTCGTGGCCAACTGATTGTAGGCTTATGCTTCCGCTTTGAGGCCTCGTCAGCCATGGAAGCGGAAACTCTATCTCTTCAGCTGGCTGTACAATGGTGTGCTGCCTTTGCCATGGCTCCTTTTGCTGTGGAAGTCGACTCTCTCTCTCTTGCCAACTTGATCTCTGCGCACGATACAAGGATTCCTTGGAGAATTGAGCCAGCAGTTTCTTACGTTCGATCCACTCTTAGTTTATGGGGTTCCAGTATTCGACATATTTACAGGGAAGCCAATCACGTTGCGGACGCTCTTGCAACAGCTGGCCTCGGTTTTAACACTTCAAAAATTTTTCATACTTTACACTCACTGCCTTCTGCGGCTAAGCTGGCCTTATTTTTTGATGTAAGGGGTTTTGCCACGCATCGGGCTATTCGTCGCCAATAAAACATGTTTTTCGTTGAAAAAAAAAAGTTAAATACACACACACACACATATATGGGAAAAAGTTTCCATGCGATAGATTCATATCATAATAATATATTTTATTATTAACATTTGCTTATTTAATATAATTATAAACAGTTAATGAAGGGTAATTGTACTATACCCAACTACTCCATCACCAATATTTGCAATCCACAATGATTGTGTAACAAATAAGTTATCATTTACAAAAATAAGCCACCACCCAACGATTAATTAAAAGTAATAATTACAAATTAAAAGTATTTAAGTATAGCAAATTTTACTTGGTGTGGGAGTATAGTTTTGCTCTGAAAATCTAGAATGACACAATCCTCCAAGTAAAATTTGTTATACTTAAATATTTTTAATTTGTAGTTATTACTTTTAATTAATCGTTGGGTGGTGGCTTATTTTTGTAAATGATAACTTATTTGTTACACAATCATTGCGGATTGCAAATATTGGTGATGGAGTAGTTGGGAATTCATCTGACGGTGAAGTCGATATTACTATTCCCGACCATTTTTTGTTGCACTGTAATGATGATCCCATTGGTACAATTGTTGATAGCACATTTCTTATGTTTTGTAGTGGTAACACTGATTTCAACTATTTTCATAATCATGCTATTTTGACTCCAACTCTAGATGTAGTATATAAATTTTAACCGCATTAGTTCACACAAATTGTAACATAACATACACACAATTAATACTTTTTAATTTACATACCGTGCAGCGCACGGGTCAAATACTAGTAGTTCGTAATAACATAAAGAAGTAAACAGTCCGACTCGGCGACTCCACTCGCACACCAGTCAGGCCACGATCTTTGATCCACGCGAGGGCTTCTCGAACTGCGTACGTAGTGGTTCTTGGATGCATTGTAGAGGGCCACTTCCAGCTGCCTTGAAGCCTAATAGGTGGTTCCCGATTGAGCCAATTGTAGATGGCTAGCAACTATTAACATAAAATGGGCAATTTATATCCTGCACCACGGTGCGCGTTGCATTGTGCGCTCAGATGCAAAACGACGTCGTTTCAATTTTTATTTTTATTTTTGAAATTTCCCGTCCCAGTGTTTGGCAATTAATATAATTTTTCTTAAAAAAAACTCATGTTAAAAAATGTACATAATGTTATACTAGAATACACATAATTGTATACATGAATGTACATAATTATATAACAAAATATACATATTCTTTTTTAAAAGATAATACACATAATCTAACATAATACATAATAAACATAAACTTTTATCATAATACACATCAACTCTTGACATAATACACAACAATTTCATGATTCAGATGTACATAATTGTATAAAAAGAATGTACATAATTGTATAAAAAATGTACATAATTGTATGAACAAATATACATAATTGTAGGAACAAATATACATAATCACAACAACTTCCTACCGCGCCTCCCAAAACGACGTCGTTTTGGGAGGCGCGCGGCGCAGTGCTACGCGCGCCGTGGTGTAGGGTATAACGATTGCATAAAATGACATATTCTAGCCTTTTCGGGTAACAAAAGATTATAGGTCCAATTGTTACCAATGATTTGGAGGTTATTGCACATAAATAGAGTTTATTCTGTGTGCATTCTTATATAGTAGGTAAATCTTTGAAATGGACCATGGTATGAGCTCTGTTTTAATTTCATTTTTCTCACACACTAATTTCATGTATCATTTTATACGCATCCAAAACACATTCATATTTGATAAAATGCATATCTGTATATAAGCTCTTTACTATTCAAACTCATTTTATACATACAATAGGTTCATTATAACAAAACTAACGTATCATTTTAATTATATTACATGATCATTTGACAATATACATATTTGAGGCGTATTATGATAGTCCACAACTGTGTGGATATGGCCTATATCATCGATTGCATATATATAGTAACTGGGGGTTTTCTAAATAGACAAATTTCAATTTTCCAGACTCGTAATGTGGTACAAAGTTGAACGCAGTTCAACTATGATCTAAAATTCCAGTTGCAAGTGCTTCATTTGGTAACACAAAACCTATAACAAAGCCACTGGGGAGCCTGCAGTAAGTCTCCTAATATAATCTTTTCTAAGCTGCTTAGCATATGCTATAAGCACTATATTTTCCATAGCAAGTTCATAGAGATCACCAAAAGGAACAGAATTCAGGATAGTGTCAATATGTAAGAACAAAGGCACAGTACGATCATGAAATATAGCATTCAGTGAATCAAACAAATGATTAAAACCAACTATCCAGCAGCATCTGCAGGCATGACTCAGAACCAGCCATAAATGGAGAGAGTTATAGCATATCACTCAAAAGCCCACTGGTTCTCCCGACAGATCTCCTCTTCCTCCTCGGGGGTAAAGTCATCCATGATGTTAAATATCTTGCGAGTATCTCTTCTGGAAATTGTCATTCTTCTCGGGGGTAAATTTATGCAAGATGTTAAAGGGCTTGTGTGGATCTCTTGTGGAGATTACCATTCTTGCAAAATTCTTCCGGAGAATAGACCTTGATCGTTTCCGCCAAGTTGAGCAACTCAGTTTCAAAAGGCCCCTAATACACAAGTAGTTCGCAGCCTAAAAGATCAAATAACAATCATAAGGATAATATGTACTGTTTAATTACTAACAGGGGGGAGAATGGAAAATTAAAGAACAAAAAGACAGAAAATGCATTTACTTACATTTGAAAAACAGAAAACAGAGAAGGGAGAAAGGAAAACTAAAAACTAAAGTAAACATAAGTATTACATTCATCATAAAATGTAATCATTGATACAATTTTAATCATAAAAACCACCAGGCTAAACATTTGAAATGAAGAAACTCATCATTGCACTACCTTTTAGTTTAAAAAGGGAACCAAGTATTAATTAATTTTTTTCACAAGAAAAATAATAAGATGAACTCAGTTCTAAAGAGTCAAGACTAGCAACTATTTCAATGTTTTCCAGTAGTTCCAAGTGTGATAATCATCTTAGCTACAGTAGATGAGGCTAAGCATGTACTGATATGCTTGAATAACAATCGTTATTCATAATCTATACTTACATGTCAGATGTCACAAGAGAATCAGCTGAAAACACCCATCATATACCACATCAGTCTGAATACTAACGTATTCATTAACTTTTTTCACAATTAAAGAAAAAAAAAAAACAATAAACTCAACTCTCAAAACTATGCTAGCACAACTGTTTCAATGTTTTGCAATGGAGATTTCAAGTGTCATCTTAGCTACAGTAGATGATGTCATGATGCTAACCATGTACTGATATGCTTGAATAACAATTGTCATTTGTCATCCATACTTGAATGTCACAATAGAATAAGCTGAAAACACCAATCATATGCCATATCAGTCTGAACACAAAGTATTCATTTTCTTTTGTTTTTTTTTTCCACAAGGAAAAAAAAGAAGAAGAAAAAGAAGATAAACTCAGCTCTTAAAACTAGCACAATTGTTTCAATGTTTTGCAATAGAGCTTTCAAGTGTCCGATATGCTTTAATAACAATTGTTATTCATCATCTATACTTGCATGTCAACAGAAAACAACAATCAAATACTACATCAGTTGAACACTAACATCATTTAGCATTCAGTGGTATAACTATCTTCTTTTTATGGGAATGAAGAGGAGAAAATTCAAAATTAGTATACTACCTAATCAATTACACCTAACACAACTTCTAGTAATCAAGAAACCAGCCTTTCATGAAACGGAGAGATCTGAGCTAAAATCAAGAACAGTTAAAACATAACAGTCAAAACGAAGCAACTAGCGTAGAGTTCCTACTATTTCACAGTAATAAGCAAGCTAATAATCATCGATATGCAATGCAAATACAAATAATGTAATCACAACAAACAAACTTGGGGAATATAAATGATTTTAAAGCTTCAGAATCATAAAATTACCAGTATCAGGTCGCAGAGAGTAGTCTGGTCGACTCTAATAAAGTCTATGTCGAATGAAATAAGCTCATTCACACTCGAAACCACGGCGTGCTTCTTACAGTATTCAAGCACCATTGCGAGGATCTTTCCGGTAACGTTCGGAAGGGGAATGCAGTTCTCGGCGCAATCGTCTCTGATCATGTGCTTTAAAGTTTCCGACTGCTGAGCCACAGTCTCCGACAGCTCGAACACCTCTCCATCGGAACTTCTCACCGTCACCTTCTTCTCCTCCGCAGCCTCCGACGACATCGTTGCGATAGCAGTTAGCGATTGTGGGGAATTTTGGGGGGAAATGGACACAGCAAATTTGCGATTATGAGCTTTGAGCCATTTTGTAGAAAGATTTTATAGAAGCGGTGAAGCGGTTATACTCCAAACTAATTATCACTTTGTTATAACTTATAACTGATCTAACCCCTAATCGTATTTTTAAAAAATCAAGACTTCAAAAAAAAATTAAAAAATCTAAACTTGGGTGGTGCCATGACTGCCATCCCTTGGCAAATATACAATACTACAATGTACACCATTACAGTAAATTTATACCGACACTAAGATTGATTATTAATGTATGTTCAACTTTAATATATTGAGTTATAGTACATTAAGAATAATTATATATATATATATATATATATATATATATATATATATATCAAAATATAATAAATTTATATATAATAAATTTGTAATATATTAAAAATAAAAAATGATTGTATTTGAACCTAGTAATCACCCTTCCTTTTCTAGTATTATTTGTAATGAGTTAATGCCAGCTAAAGTTCTTCGAGTTTAGTGGATTTGCTATCTATCGTCCTAAACATTAATAACACTATGTTGTTCTAATAGAAAGATTAAGTTACCGTCAATAATGATCATCCCTCCAAGCAAATTATATGACCTATTCTTTGTAAAAAGTAAAAAAGGGACAAGTTTCTTGGAAAACATTAGGACATAACAATATGTTATGTTTTATTTCAATAGGTGGCAAGGTTGACAAGTGTATAAATTAAACAGTGGAAATGCCCCACAAATATTTAAGATCAATGATCAAAATGGAAACGTCCAGACTCTAGAGTTTCTTAATGAGTTGCGAGCATCGAGTATTCCAAACCATGCCTTAACATTGAAAGTTGCATCATTTGTAGTGTTGTTGTGGAATATAAATCACTCAATAGGCTTATGCAATGGTACGAGATTGGTTATTACAAGATTGTTCGACCATGTTATTGATGCCAAAATAATGACTGGTGACAATGCATGAAGTACACGACCAATTGTATGTGACCGCGTCTAGAGTTAGCAACCCTAAGGGACTAAAAATTTAAATTTGTAATGATCTTAATAAGAGTTGTACTTCAACCACTAATGCGGTTTACCATGAAATTTTTAATAATTAGTAAATAAAATATTAATTTTAAACATTAATATTATAACTCTTATCTATTGTTTTTCTAAATAATAAGATTACCTACTTACAAGATTTTTTTACTGTTTTAATATCCACTGATAACCTTTTGCGAGGTCATGTGTATAATTTAATTTGACATATACATTCGCTTCGTTTATTACATTAACATTTTAAATTAAAATATAATTTCTAGACCGTGCATCGCACGGGTATAATGCTTTATATATATATATATATATATATATATATATATATATATATATATAAAATAATGTGGGCCCGGGTGACAGGGGTCCCAGAATAATTTGCGATTAGATAGCAAATAGCAAGTCCCTACCCACCATATTTTCCTTTGCATCAAATCAAAGGCAGAGAAGAAAATGGCAAAGAAATTACAAAGTTGGTGTCAATAGCATTGGTTAGGGGTTGTGAGTTCAGAACTACTCGATGGTGAAATTGTGAGTTCAGAACTAGTCGATAGTGAGAATCGAAGATGATGAACCTGTGATTGGAGATGGAAACTGAGGTCTGTGAGTTAACTGGCTTTTTATTCGGATTGATAGTCTTTTCCATTAATTTTTTTTCTTTTAATTTTTGAATTAAAAAATCTATGTTAACATCCTTCCGCAGTGGGGAATACTTTGAAGAGATCACTGCTAGGACAAACAGGCAAACGCCTAAGGACATCAGCAACTGAGGATGTAGGCACTAATGAGGAGGTGGAGCAGATGTTCGATGAGGCTGATGGTTCTGGTGCTAATCCAGCTGAGGAAGAACTTTCTCATTTTCAGAAACAATTGTTGGCCAAACTAGATATTATGCTAGCGGAACAGCAGAATCAACGCGCTGCGATAAGTCAATTGCACAAATCTTGCACCCAACCAACATTGAAGCTAAGACACATAAATTAATCACAACTAAAACACATTCTCACAACTAAAACACAATCATTCACTCAACCTTTGAGAAATTAAGAACATAGCTACAACACACAGCAGCAGATGCATTTTCAACTAATAATTTCACCTATCTGAAAATAAAAACATAAAATATAAAAGAAATAGAGGAATAAATAATATTAAACTATGAAGAATATTTGTATTGATGACTTTTAAAATAGAAATGGTAGCCAATATACATACCAGCTACCAATATTTTTCTAATTATATCACTAATACGAAATACTTTTTCTAGTTTAATATTATTATTATACTTATTTATTGTTTTTTTTTAAGTATATGTTCATGCATGCATATTTAATGGGTGGTACCTATTGGACAATATTTAATTTTTAACACATGATCTTGGTTTAGCATAATTTTGAAATAAATTAGTAAATATATATACCTAGCTAACAGGGCTAGTCGATCTAATAGGTCCGATCATGAGGGAGGATGCATGAGTCGAGCTATAGTGGGGCAGCTGCCCCCCTCCCCCACCCCACCCCCATATATAGCCCTAGTAATTATATATATATATATATATATATATATATATATATATAATATATATATATATATATATAGAGTACATGTTTAGGTATAATTATAAAATATATATAAAAGTAACGAAAAGATAAGTTAGTCAAGTTGGTAAGGTATGCGTGCAACTTATGTAAGGTCATGTGTAGTGCTTGCTAGTTTTACTTACATTTATTATGTATTTTATTTTTTCACCCATAACCAACAATGGTCATTTTTTAAATATATTTTTTCACCATATCTAACCATTATCATTTTTGTAATATAATAATAATGAGATGTGTGATACATAATGTGTTTTGTTATGATTGTTTTTATAACGTTTTGATATATTTTATTTTTCATCTATATCCAACAATATTTCTAGTTATGTTTCCTATGTGTTTTATTTATTTTTTAAAATTATCTCTTTTGTTTTAATATTTGCCCCCACTAAAAAAATTTTATGGCTCCGCCCATGGGAGGAAGGGTATGTTTGGAGAGAGTAAGGCACAATGATATGCTCCCAAACCACAATTGAAGAAGAATGATGAACGACTAATTTGATAAGCATTATCCATGGTCACCCTGCACATGCTTCGATACAAGAAGGCAAGAATATCACTACCCCAAATATAGTCGTTGGCAGTTTGCAAATCTCTAAGGTAGTGTAAGAAACATTGTCTCACCTTGTTGTTCGACGTGTCGGGGAATAATGCTTCACCTAGTAATTGCATGATATGTAAACTGAGTCATGTTTTCCATGTCTTCATCAGTTGAATATAATGCTTTGTCAGAGGTCGCGCATTCTGTCATAGACATCAAGATCCCTTGTGTTGGTCTAAGAAACATAGTCCCACCATGTTGCATTATTTGACATACATGTCGGGGAATAACATTTCACCTAGTAATTGCATGATACACAGTCGGGGCCATGCATGCATTGCAAGTCTTCATGAGTTGAATGTTTCTGTTAGTAGTGTCGGGTTTTGTATAATTGAGGATCAAACAAGATGTGCCAAAAATTGAGTTAGATGTTTGCTTTGCATTTTCCTGAAGGATTTGAAGCTCCAAACCCAATTGGAGGACACGAAGCCAGTGTAACCCTTTCATTTGACATAGTGCACCATCCATTCCCAAAGTGCGCATTGATGGCATATGTCATGACCTCCTCGGCATTATTAGGCCTAACAATAACTCAATTTCCTACACGTCTCGTTTGATCCTGACATGTCTACAAAATTCGCAACCACTAACAAAGCATTCAGATGGTAAAGACATAGAGTGCATGACTCAGTTGCGTATCATGCAATTATTAGCGTGAGTGGAGTGTTATTCTCCGACACGTCGAACAACAATGTAAGACTATTTTTCTTAGACTACATTAGAGATTTGCAAAGTGCCACTAACTACGGTTGGGTAGTGTTGTTCTTGCCTTCTTGTACTGAAGCATGTGTAGGGTGACCATGGATAATGCTTGTCTAATTGGCAGTTCCTCATTCTTCTTCAATTGTGGGTTTGGTTACTATCAAGCTTTTCTTCAAAGCACCTATACAGTCTATATCCAATAATGAATATTTTATTTCGAGATTAAGAGTGTACCTTGATAGTAAATTACAGTTTTTTTCAACAACCGATAGTAGGTTTCAGGTCAATCTCGTCACTCCCTTATCTATGTCTATGCATATTTTACTTCGAGATTAAGAATAGCTTGATAGTAAACTACACTTTTTCTCCGCAAATCTTCTTGAGTAAAAGACTCATGCTGGATAATTTTTCCTAGTGTAAGTTAATTTTATTTAAAGAATATTCTAACTTTCTATATTAACTATTTTCTTGTAATTTTCTTATATAGTTTCTTTAGTCTATATACCTTTTAACTTCCAACCATTTTTACATCTTTTTGTTTAACTAAGGATCGTGTTTAACCAAGGATTAAAAAAAAAATAATGCTTTGCCTGAATCATGGGCTAGAAGATTTAGTGCGGAATTGGTTTTAATTTGGTAATCCTCACCTTAAATGCATTGATAGTTTAAATTTGATCAAATTCAAAGTTAATTCTTTTGTATTAGTAGCACATCCTCTCTATGATTCAAGTCTCGCCAAAGAATCTGAGTGTGTTAATCCATATATTTTTATGAGTATTTAATTTAGCATCTTCTTTTTTTTTTTTTTTTTTTTTTTTTTTTTAAGATAGTGCAATTAGGTCCCCTAAGTAAAAAAAAAAAAAAAAAAGAAAAAAAGAAAAAAAAAAGCTCCATTCAGATCTTCTAAACCTGTAAAATAGCTCAATTGAGTCTAAAGGAACATGTATAGCAGGTTTAATTCATCCCAAGGTGACACATGTCACTTTTAAAATATTTTTTTATTTTTATTCTATAAAAAACTTTTTATTTATTATTAAAAATAATAAATAAAAATAAAATTAGTCAACGGGTTTCTGGGCCAGAGGACAGCCACGGCTGTCAACATGAGGTGCATATCTGGACCATCAAAAACGGCCGGGAACAAGGGCGATGGTCATGGCTGTCGCCCCTGGTTCCAAAACGGCCATGGACGACCATGGTTGTCCGGGCCGTCACCAGCCAACCATGACGATCTAAAAAAATTTGAATTCGTTGTCAAATCTCTAATGTAGTCTAAGAAACATAGTCTCGATCACCTTGTTGTTCAACGTGTTGGGGAATAACACTTCACCTAATAATTGCATGATACGTAACTGAGTCATGTTTCCCATGTCTTCATCAGTTGAATGCTTTGTCAACGATCACGAGTTCTATAGACATATATCAGGATCAAATCTTGCACTGAAGCCGCCCAAATTAATCACGCACTAAACATTATAGCTATTAAACACACTTTGAAATCATGCACAAACTCGACCTGCATCATATTGATGAATTTCCAAACCATCTCTACCCATCCTACTTAATTATGCTATATATGCATAACCCTCACCTGGCCTGCATTAATCAAACCAAATTTTCTTGCACATGCTTTGATACAAGAAGCCAAGAACAACAATGTCCCAACTGTACGTAGTCGTTGGCACTCTAAAATCCCTTATGTGATCTAAGAAACATAGTCCCACCATGTTGCATTGTTTCAGTTCAAATTCGAGTGAAAACTACTACAATAAATTAATTATTACTCCATATATTGCAAGTATGACTTCTTCTTCTCCGACCAACGAAGCCATGTCCACTTATGTGTCATCTTTGGTTGGCTTCTTCATTCCTCGGCTTCTTGCATCAGATGCCTCCGTAATGTATGGTTCCACAGTACTTCAAATAATTCTATACATACTTCTCATTCAGGTGAATTCCCAGCCCCATGCAAGCATGCACACGACAGGCTTCTAGATCAGGCCGAGATTACAAGTCACCCTCAACAGCTTCAGTCTACGTACATTCTATGGGCAGGACAAGAGGGTTTTGAGTGTGAGGAAAATAAGAATGAGCTGTATCAACACTATTGTTTGTATATATATATATATATATATATATATATATATATATATATATATATATATATATATATATATATTAGGTTCGGGTTCTGGTGCGCTTGGCACTATTAGGTGTGGATGTGCTGTTGTAAAGATAAGTTAAAATATCTTCACCGTTGATCTCAAAGATCTAAATTCACGTATTTTTCTTGTATTCGCGTACGGAGGGACAAATTAGTAATTTTGAATAAATTAACTTTCATCGCTGTTCTCCATCGTCGTTCGCATTGCCGGCGACTTTGTTTTTGTTTTTCAAAGAATCGTTCAGTTGTCTATCTTCTCCCAGTCGTTTAGCATTGCGGTGTCCATTGTTGTTGTTTCCAAATCTTTTTCCATTCTCTGTCGCTATATTGTATTTATTTGTCGTGGATCTACATTTGTTCTTTTTCATCTCAGAAAACTGATCTTGTTTATTTGGTTATGAAAATGGAGCACGTTAAGTTATATTTTTGAAGCACACTGCGTAATACGTGCACGCATAGTAAGTGTTAGACGGACCGACGCTCATGAAAGATATATGAGACGCATATTAAACATATAAGAGACGCATATTAAAGAGATCTGACACACATATTAAAGGGATATGAGACGCATATTAAAGAGTTATGAGAGATGATTTATTTTAATTGGTACTCAACTCAACGCACATCAAGATTTGAGGTCCCGCATGTTGTACTTTAATGACACGCATTTAATGGTGAATTTGAACGCACATTAATTTATTTGAATTTGTATTCTTTTTTTTTATATTTGTTTTTAATAATTATTATTTTCCACGTTATTTTATTATGTAAATGAACGCACAGTAAGATATGAACTTACGCAAGTTGTAATGTAATTTTTATACCGAATATCAACACATATTAACTTTGTTTTATAAACATGTTAAGAGTTTTTATGTTTATTTTTTTTCTTTATTTTATTCAATTACTTATTTATGACGAAAATGAACGCACATTAAATTTTTTATAAAGCACGTTCAATGCTAAGTGGACGCATATTATGATTATCATTTGTATTAATTAATAAGGTGATTTTTAATATGCGTCCATGCCACATATAATTTGCGTGAAAATATATATTAATGTGTTTGAAAACCAAAGGAGTTTATATCAAGATGTTGAACTACTGTAATGTCATAAAACCTTTAACACTAAAAAATATTCACTATTTTTCGTCTTTAATACCAGCCTTTAATCAAGACAGTTCATTGATTTCAGCAGTTAAAATTGCTGTTATGTATTTGACCCTGAGGTCTGCAAGATCTGATTGTTTATTTTTACTACTGTCATCTCCCATGTATGTTTGCATGATGCACATTGTAAATACTCCAGAATCGTCTTTCTTCTCGGTATCACTCCATTGCATTAGCATTCGCTGAGGTGTAATCTTTTTTAGTCTGTTTGCAGCACTGTATGAATCCCTCTGGTTCAAATATCTCACAAAGTAGTCTTTCTGCAGATTAATAGAAAAGCATTAAAAACAGAAAAAACTACACTTCATAAAATGTTTTAAAATGTGTGACTTAGTACTCACCAAAAGAAATGGTATATCACCATATTTGGCAATACCAGCACCATCAGCAGAAGAGTTGCCAAGTATGTGTATGGATGTTTGATAAACATCCAAATCAATGCAGATGACATATATTTGATCAGTTGCAATGACTGGGAAAAAGAACTGCATTTTGTACATGTTAGTTCGGAGAAGTTATAAATTCAAATGTAATGTAAGTATGTAGAATTTAATTTACCAAACGATAGTTTGTAGGGTCACAGTAGCAGTGTCAATGTCATGATTAACACTTTCTTGAAACTTTTCATACAGTTGATCAGTATTGTATGCAGCTGGTTTATACACAATAGAAGATGCCTACAGGAGTATGATCTTGTCAGGAATGCAGTATGTGCTCAAGAAATTTGTTAATGGCATGAAATCGTAAATCAATAATAAAATAACTTACAACTGGTGTTGTTGAGAAAAGAATCTTCTTTTGTTAGGATACTTAAAGGTGTAGGTCTCCATGCTATTTAGAATTAAAACCCAAGTATCCAAAACACCAGCTTCTACACGTTCACCCTTCCTCAATGACCTCAACTCAATCATCAGTAAACGTTTCTCTCCATGTTTAAAAGCAAATTCACGCCTACAAAAAATATCAGATATGAAGTAAAAAAATCAATAAGTAAATAAATAAAAATGCAAACTTAACTTGTACAATTAATATGGGTGTGTCTTTCTACAAAAATACATGTACCTTAAGTTTTAACAACAATTCACATTAAATAAACAATCAAGTAAATTAAGAACAAAACTCACACATTTTAAGAACAAGACTCACACACATTAACCAGAAAACTCACGCACATTAAGCACACAAATCATTCAATTTAAACTTTTAACATTTGACACAACTTGCACTAAGTAGACACTGACGCACATTAAGTATAAAACTCACGCACACTAGGCATTACAGATACGCACATTAAGCATTACACAACGCACATTAATCAGAAATCTCAGGGCACATTAAGTATAAGACTCACACATCTTAGGAACAAGAATGAAACACCTTAATCACAAAATTCACGCACATTAAGCACACAAATAATGCAATTTAAAGTGTTAAAAACTCACACAACAACCCATGCTAAGTTGACAGTGACGCACATTAAGCATAAATCTCACGCACCTTAGGCATTACAAAAACGCACATTAAGAATTACACAAACGCATATTAATCAGAAATCTCAAGCACATTAAGTATAAGACTCACACACATTATTAACATCTTATAGCACACGGGGAACACTAACATGTTATGAAACT